TCATCTGCTGGTGTGTATGACGCGCTCAGGTACAGGTACACCTTACGAAAGTTATGAGTCACTCCACGAGCTCTAGTGTATGTAATGGTTTGCTTTGCTCGATCCTTAACTGGCATCCAGATCTTACTTGTGACTCGGTACTGTGCTCCAAGCGGCGGCCAAATCTCACTAAGCCTTTCGACTGTCCGACTAAACCAAAAGAGGATATCCAGTGGAGGTTCCCCAACGCAAAGCTTTGAATTTATAAACATGATTCAGCTGACAAAATTGACCAAACATGTGGTGGCATCAGTAGGCATAGGATTTACGCTTAGTCGTTCACAGCTCTCCAGCTCTAACTCCACATCTTTGGGGTAGAGGGCGAGGACAATCCTGTAGACGGCCTAGGCTTTTTGATTTCAAATAAAAGTCAGAACCCAGCGCGGGCTCGACAACAGTCTGGAATATTTAAACAACCTTGCACTGGAAAGAAATGCTTACGGTTTAAAGAGGGAAAGACCCAGAAAATATCCTAGTAAATCATGACATCCGCAAGCCAATGGTAGTACGCGAACGCTAAGCATGCAGCCGAAGCGTTAAAAGGCCACGCCTCTTCAGCATACCCATCCCGATTTCCACAACCATGACCTTGCGCATACCCACAACCTACAAAATCCATTCCCTTACAATAATCCTGAAGACGGCGGTTCTGGACGCTGTTGACAGGATCAACACGAGGTATACATAAGTAAGACCCCCTTCTCCAAGTAAGTACGGTGGAATTAGGATGGTGAAAGTCACAAATTTTTCTGCAGTGGACGTCACAACGAAAAGCCTAGTGACACCGAAGGCGCCTTAACCATCCGAATTGGCATCGGGACACCATTGTTTTACCTTCTGCATGGAAAGAAACTCCACTGTCGCAGAAAGTAATTCGCAACCAATATCTGCGTCAAACCCTCACAATGAAAGACAACGGTGACGCGAAGACATCCAATCCGTTTCTATTAGGGGCGGACAAACGGGTAGTTTTCTGTGACCTTACCGCCCAAACAGGGATAAACCATACCATCTGGGAAGCATAATTTAGTCGACATAGCGTAAAACGCCGCGACGTATACTAACCCCTTGTGTTGAGGACCTCCGCATTACCAACATCATCTTTCAGCTTTCCAATCACAACAGGACAGCAAAGAGACACCCTCAATCTTAACAATGTCAACTGTTAAACTACGCCCTCGTCAGCGTGACGTGCTCGAGGCAAAGGCGGGGCGCTGAAATAGAACCAAGTATTGCCTTTAGTTTCCAAAATAAAGCTGCAAATTCAAAAACGGAGGCGGCTTCGAGGAAAAAATGTAAGAACAAAGTTGAAAGCTGCCGCATTGGACTTGGTCAAATGCAGGTGAAAAATTCCAACAAAATGAACATCAACCCCAACTACGTACAAAGCCTGGGGGAAGAAGGTATTGAGGACAATTCGCAGAGACTGAAGAAGGCCAGTCACGCCACTGCCAGAAGTCCTCAGGCATGCACGCGAAAACCCCCAGGATTGTTTTTATATCAGTTTTTTTATCAGTGCAACAACTGATCATTGATAAAAATCAACGTTAGCAGGACCTTTCTGTGGAATAACAGCCCGCAAACAAGGCCAATTTCTTCCATTGTAGTCGCTAAACGCAACAAAGACTGAGGGACATAAAACTGACTGGTTGAATACCAAAGCATTAGAACTAAGGTGATGCGTAGACCAAAGTGAAGTAGACAACTTGGCATTCATCAAGACGATCTCGACCCATCGGAACTGTGTCGCTACCTAGCTCAAACTGGACAAGCTTACTGACAGAAAAATCCAATATCCTGAAATTTGAAGCCAAGCACTTTAAGGAGCATATTTAGCCGGCCATCTAAGACCCGCCAGACTATCGACAGAGACCCGTAACCGAAGATCAGTGCTTAACTTGATCACCCGTCCTACCTGAAGCGATCAAAGCAGTGTAGCATATACCAAGCAGAAAACGTTTTCCGGTGCCGCCTGAATTTCAATTTAAGGTTATAAATTCGGAGGCCATCAACGCGTGGATAAGCTTACCTGGCTGATCCGGAAGATGCAGCAACAGGCATTAAATACCGCAAGATTTCAAGTGCACAATTATAGTTAATATGAGCAACCGCAAAGGAAACCGGCAAATCTGTGACAATCACAAGTAAAGCGCTTGAAGCTACATCCAAAGAAAGATATTCCTCCAGTCCCGAAAGACAGCAGAACCGCTGATGCGATTATCGCAGATCGGCAACTACAACAAAAATGCCAGAAAATAATAATCAACCTCAATATCACCTTTTCAGATCTCACCAAAGACTTCGACGCCGTAAACCAGAGACGGCCTCTGGAGAACAGTGGCCGAAGGTAAATATTTCAAGAGGTTTATGGTGATGGTCAGGCAGCTTCACGATAACGTCATGGGGCACGTAACAGACAATCGCGATGAAAATGAAGTGAAGCATGTTTGTATCCTTGCTCCAGCCCTCTTCAGTTTCATGTGCTCCAAATGTCGGAAGTAGTCATCGTACTCGTTTTGATGTCACACTTACGAACTCTAGCTGACGTTAGATCCGAGTCTAGTATGTGCACGGTCTGGGATCAAGCAGTGTGCGTAACACGTGTATAAGGACCAGTTGCCTTTTCCGGTCTACACCTAAACCCAGTCGCCCTGGCTTTCTCTGGTCATCAAAATACATTGAGTATACACAGGGTTTTATGGGTGGGGAAAACGGATGGAAGAGAAAAGGACTTTGTAAAAATAAGTACAAAAAGTCGTAAAATTTCGTTGAAAAAGTTTAATTCGGTGGCTATATAGCGACGGTGTTGGGCGCGTACATCGGAAAAAGGTGCCAAAAGCAAATCGAGCTCGAATCGAATTTGGATCGATGTCAAAAAACCTGAAAATGTCGACTTTTGTTTTTCAATCCAAACCCAGTAATAATGGACTTTTTGAAGACTTTTTGTAATACTAAGCATTTATTATCAATAATAGAAAAATCGGGGAAAAATTATTACAACCGGCTGTGTTGTGGCTGATCTAGTTAAGGGCTAAATTAAAGTAACCGGTATATCGCTTCTAACTCCCTGAGCTAAGATATGTGTATGTATCGTTTGGGGTGTTCGCTGACCTTGAGCGAGGTCACTGAGGTAATTTTTTTAATATCATCACTAATTCCTACTGGACCAACGGTGGGCGCGTGTAAGATGTGGAATATTCGCTGATCTTGGGCGAGGTCCCTGAGGTACATTTTTTTTAATATCATCACTATCGCGCTGAAGTAGCAGGAAGTCTTCCGCAGCTACTAATCCGCCGACTTAAGTTAATAGGCATAAATACGCCTACTGAAACGAATATAGTAGTTATTTTAGTGTTTCTTTCAAAAAGGCCACTACTCATGCTACGATTACCGAAAGTATTAACAAGCCCGCGAAAGACGCCGTCCCCCCGCCTACTTCTGTAGGCCTATGTCAAGGGGGCTCCTAGTTAGTAGAAATCGTCGCCGAAAACACAAATAAACGAAATGGAAATCGACTAGAATCATTGGAACATCCCCTTGTGAATAGAAAAGTAGGTGGTTTTTGTAAAACAGGGGAAGGGTGCCAACCTTTCGTTGTAGAATCGTCCATCGCTTTATATTCGGTGCTTTTTAAAGCCAGTTCAACACCGTAGCCGTTGAGCGCTGTATTACCCGCAGAACTCTCCTAAAATGCGAATCACGGGTGTTTGGTGTAAATGAGAAGGCCGAAATGCAGTGTGAAAGAAAAACAAGAAATTTCGGACATAAATCATACGTTGTACACAGAAATAAAATTCAGATATCGAATGCAGTTAGCGCATATCTCTGTCCTGTTTTAAGTTGACATGATGAAAATAAAGGGGAGAGTAGACAGCGTATTACCCTCTGGCATGGATATAGCCTCGAAGAGCGGAACACATGCAAAGAGTAGTTATCGCCAACCACTGATGTTCGTCAGCGTGAACATTGCAGTTGTGAGGAAATAAACCTATGCATGTTTAAGAGTTATTAGACTTTCATTAGCATTAACGCGACTTTTTAAACACGGAGTTCACAGTGGTAAGAAGAATTCCTATAAAGGCTACTTTATGAAGCTCTACGAACGGACTCTTTGTCCAGAGAGCAGAGTTGTCCCGCCAGTTGCCGACTTTTCTACTGACTGTTAAACATTTCTAATGGCTGTCAAGTGTGCTAGTGACATTATAGGAGGGGGAAATACCCATAGGGTCAGTCTTCCTTTGCTTCCCTCCTGCTGCCATTTATTTTCGCCTACGGCAACTGGAAGTGTGATTATCCAAAACACTCGGGGTGGCAAAAATCTATGTGTCTAAATAATTTAAGATACCGATTTGTTTCTCATGTAAAATCGCATTAACAGAGCAGCCCGTTTTGGAGGCCCGAAGGAATGGACCGCGGGAATGGGCACGTCATGAACTGTTCCATTGTTAAAAAGAAGCTCAATGGTGCATGGCTTTTAACAGAAAATTGATAACAACGTTTAAACTGGCTTTGGAACTAATTCTATCAGTTATCCATCTTAAGCTCAATTAAAGTAGCCAAGTTCAACCCCGGACACCTTGACGAGCTGAAAGTACTGCTGTTATATTGGTTTCAGGCTAAGGGGTGATAATAACAATTTCCACTGCAATAGAACTAGTGTTAGGTGTAAAGCTAAGATGATAGTGATTTATACGGTTTACGGGTACGAATTAAGGGATAGCCACTTTGATGGACTGATATACGCCAAAAATGCTCGGCTGTATGAGTCAGTCTCCACACGGAACGGACTTGGTAGCCACCAACCGTTTGCGGCTCAGTGGTGCTATCATAAGGACATCGGCTACACCACGGTAACCGTTTCGATTGGCGGATGAAAGATAATGGAAACGCCTGAGACAGAGACTCCTTGTGTCACATGGAATTTGGGTCAGCTCGAAAAAACTCTTGCGGCAGACAGTAGAGACCTACCCTATTATAATGACTTAAACTCAAGAACTATTTGTGGCCATTGAGTGATGCATCGTCGATTTTTTTGTTTCAAATCTACGTTAATATTATCCCCTTCGTCATCACTCTTGATTATTTTCATTCGGCTAATGCGTATTCCCGGCACTCGTATGCTAAATAGAAAGAAGCTTGGCCACTGTCTCGAGTCAGGAACGCAGACGTGAATGATTGCAGTCATTACTGGGAATATAATGACATGCGAAAGGGCGTAAGGAATCAAAGGGAACAGAACGTTACAGATAATAATTTGACTTGTCAACTAAAAAACTGGATCTCCGATTTCGACAACACGTAATCTGACAACAAGCGTCGACCGATGTTTTATGGTTCAGGGATAAAGATAACAGAGTTACTCGTGTGAACATGGTGCGGGCGGCCCAAAATATTAAACAAGACATGATTGTAAGACAGTTTCACAAATAATCAAAAATTACCTTAATGAAGTGCCGAAAGATATAGATACAACGGCCAGCAGAGGCAAGGGATTTGGCTTCGGCGTGCCACATATAGAATTCCTTAGTCCGAATGTCGCCATTCAATATAATCCTTGGAAGACTTTTTTGCTTATCACGGGCAGTGGTGGAAAGGTACACGCAGTCGGAAAGTAAAACAGTGTCCATATGGGCGAATGAGCATTCTAAAAAGGTAAAAAGTGTACTTAGTTCCAACAAATTTTATTAACTTTCTGTGATTAAGTAGGGTATCAATAAAATTAAAGTCAATTGTTCAAGTCTTGAAACGACAGGAAGTTACAAATATTCTCAAAGTATTTCAGAGGATATTTAAACATAAGGCAAAGTACACAAATAGCAAGCCTAAAAATTAATGAAATTACGTATTCAAAAATTCATTGAGATTTACCCGGAGAACATTTTTTCGACTCGAGAGTGAGTAGCCTTTCCAAGTCGTTTAAGGTACATGCGAATGAAGATCCTACTTGAGCCCATGAGGAACTGTTTGGGCAGGGAGAGGATAAATGGGCTGTATTAACGCTGTTGGCATCCGTCACGAGGTTCATGTCACCTTCAGGATGAACTATGAGATGTCCCACGTTGCCTAAGTGATTTGCCATTTGGACGGCCGGCGAAAATGTACGCGATGAAAGCGACAATCGAAATAATTGCCTTTGAAGTTCCCGAATGCCATCGTTGTCAGCTGGAAAATTCAAGATTTCCATGACGAGATCCTCTAGACGCATCAGGGCCACTTGACTGAGGCGTGTTTCATTTGAGAAGAGTTCTTTGTCGCCCTTGTGGACAAGCGGCTCTAGCTTATTGAGAAAGTCCCAAAAGTGGTTCACACTTTTCTGCGCAAGGAAAGCTCTAGAAAAAAATAAAGTGAAAATGTGAACATCGCACTGAGGAAGGGTAAACAACTTTGGCCTTTAGTTTTCTTAAGAAAAACGCTTCTTATATTGGGTTTCACATCTTTAGAACGCGCCTTTCTCGATTTTGATACAGAACTAACGGTAAACTATTCAGACACTTTCGCATCCCCCTATCTCTATCAATCAGAGACCTTGAATAGCATCAAAAACATATCTCCTATCTGGAGAAGCAAGCCATTTTCGAGTACGTCTAAACCTCTTACGTATCATTTTAGTTTTCGAGTTTGATATAGTTTTTACTAGTCCAGGTTAATCGTCTGGCAGTGGGCAAAACACACTGACTTTCGTCAGATCTCAACACAAATAAAAAAACACCATTTACCCGAAAGCAAAAGAAGAACCAATCTTTTGTTCAAAAATAACGAAAGAGACAATAAGAAAGGAAACTGCTTACCCAGCCTCTGACAGTAAAGGCGTTTCTTTCCATGAAGAAAACAACTTTGCAGAGACTTGATAATTGACACAATTTACACCGCGGAGAGCAAGGACGCACACAAGTACAGGGAGAACCCACATGGGAGAGACCTAAAATGCGAAATGGCAGATGAGAAATAAAAGACAACGGTGTGGAACAGTATATTATCATACTTGTTGTATAAATCGAATTTCAAAATAAAAAGCGGCAGAACAGGCCACGAAGGAAACTAGGGAACAAAATATGTAAGAAGCATTTGTAAGAGCTTTGTAGGATGGAATAGTTGTTGCCAGACGGGAAATAAATGTCAAAATTGCGGGAAAATAGCCGGCCCATATTGGACTTTGCTTGGAAACACGGGATCTCCATGGGTGGGCAAGAAGAATCAGCAAAGAGCATAAATTTGTAAGAGCAAGAACCTTCATAATGTCGAAGAATTTTATTTGGAATCGAATAATAAAGCCTGACAAGTACAAAATACATCCAATAAGGAAACTTGAGAAGGCTTTTAAAAATATATACACGTAAAGCTCGGAATTTATTGTCGCATGAACGGTGTCAACAGGTAGATCGCCGAAGTTTTCAGTAGTTATCCAAGCAGAAAATCCGGTAAGAATACAACTAAGTATAAACAATTGGGGCAGTCGGGGAAAATGGACATTCCGAAGGATATGACGATATGCCTCTAACTTGCATACGAGCAAGTCGATTATGATGATCGCAATGTCATATTCCACGTATTTGTCCACGATCTTCCCACAACGTTTACAAGACTGACAATTTATGATCTCCGAACTGTAAATTGTGTAGAGGCTTGGGGCATCGTCACCACAGCAAACGCATACGTACATTCTGACAAACGTGCCAGAATAGGCCAAAGTTACCTTCAATGCTGTAGGCGTTTAAGTGGTTCAGCTTGACAGCCAATCAAATTAGTGCTTTAGAGTTGCGAAAATTTAGCATGAAATGTTTCTGTATTATTCTATTGTATTACTAATATACTGCTGCCTATAATATGCTAGCTGTTCAGTTCAGTCCATTTCAGTTTATTGAGGAAAATAGGCATCAGCATTTGTGTAACCTATTTGCAATGCCGAATTTAATGCACTATGCAGAGAAAGCTGCTGATAATCCAAAAGAGTGGCCTTCCAGTCCGTCTGATTTTTGACATGCGCAACTCGCTGTATCATGTGAAAGCGAATGTTTAGCAGCGAAGCACTATCTTTTACAGTATCGCCTGGCATTCCGTGGCAATCGGTGGACGTATGAATTTATTGACGAAGTCATATTAACTAACATAACTGGCGTGATTATGCTCTCTCTAGACTTATCATCACTGATTACAGCCGTCCCGGATACCGAGAGGGCCGTTTACATCTACGAATTCCTATTAAAAATCAGCAGAAAATAGGACTGCCACGAATTCGCTTGTACCAATGTACACATTAAATTTGCAGTTCCTTTTCGGCAACCAACTGTACAGACGAGTAAATGGCGTTGCTATGGGCTCGGCTCTTTTACTTCTCGTAGCCGATCTCTTCATGGGCAAGCTGCAGAAATCTAAATTTAGCAATCAAATCAATCAGTAAGACACAACGGTCGCTAAGTTGACGACTTTATAGGTGGTAAGGCTAAGTCGGTTAACCCTAACACCTACAATCTTCCAGACCCTGGTTCCTTAGGAGATTGGAGGAAGACGGCTGGAAAGGCGAGAGTAGACGGAACAGTGTATTGTTTACAGAAGGGATAAAGG